GTACTTTGGGAACACAGGCCCCATTTCTGGCGCCTGGGAGAGATTAGGAGGAAGAGGGGGGAGGAGGGCTAGGAAGAGAAGGAGGTGGAGAAATAGAAGGTGGAGGTGATTCTTGAAGAAAAGAGTTGCTGGATGAATTAATTATGCAAATAAGCAGTTGGGGGGGAGTATTATCTCTATTAAAACAGCAACTTTGTTTAATGAGAATTTAGCTATTGACAGTAACCAACTCTCCACCAGCTAATTAAAACAGCCACGTTTCCTAGGAACTGGCACCCATTTCTGGTGAGGAGGGCTGACATTTCAGGGTGAGAACTGGGCCACTCCAGACTACCCTGCTTGCCCTTTGATGTCACAATGGTAGCTGGGGACAGCCCATTCCAACTAGGCACACAGCATCCTTCCCAGTCTGCAAAGACCACCAATATATTTTCTGGGGAAACTCAATAGTCTGAGGGGTTTCTAAGCTCCAGGTGAGCCAAGCAGCTCTAGAAACGTGACTTTTGCTATACAGAGAGTTCACTCTTTGAGACAGCGAATCTATTTCTTTCTCTATCCCAACAAGAGGAACTTAGCTAGGGAGGTCTGGAGACGACAAAGTTTAAGAAAGAGAAAAGTTCAAGTCTTCCTGCAGAGGGAGCAATTTCCAGCAGTTTTAGCAGGCATTAAAAAAAAAAAAAGGTATCTGAAGGAAAGGGAAGGACTTGAGAGGAAGGGAAAATGGGAAATAACCAACAGCAAACAAAACAACAGAGAGAAAGAAAAAAAACAAAGCTACTCGTAACATTTCAGGGCTTTTAAAGATTCTGGCCAATTTGAACTTTGAGAACTCGGAGAACGATAATTCCCCAGGAAGACCCTGAGCTGGTCCCAGGGCGGCTTCTCCAGCCCATTCTCCAGCCCTTCTCCCTGACTCCCCCTGCGGCCCCCACGTGCCCAAAGACACCAGCAGCCAAGGCCCCTTCCCCGGAGACACACGTAAGTTCTTACGGTGGCCAGCACTGACATTTTCTGCAGAAGCAGCCTGAGGTTCTCTTGATTAATGAAGGAATTTTGTCCAGAAACAAAGATATAGTGGCAAAACTTCAAAAAACCGTAATCACCCCCCCCCCCAAACCATCTAACGTTGAGGTTTTGTCAAGTCCCGAGGCCCTCCTGCGATTCTCTAGCGGGGTGTGGCGTGGTCTCAAGCAACGCGGCGGGGCGGAGAGAGCATCCCTCCCACGCCGCCCTTCCGCACTTGACCTCAGGTCTACCGACGTTTCAGAGGCACGCAGTTCGCACCAACTGCGCGGTAAGTCGCAATCCTCACAGAAAAAGCCAAGCAAAACTACAGCAGAACAACCGATCCCAAAGCGGCACGGGGCCGACGCGGAGAGCAGCCAGGAGAGGGCGAGGCAGCCCACTTTGAAGTGCGCCCAACAGGTGGCCAGGCGCGTCCCAGGTGCTGGAGGCCGAGAGCCCGCGCGCCCCAGCCGGGTGCCCCCGGAGCTGGCGGCCTTGGCGGCTCACCGCCGGGGATGGACGTGCAGGTGGCCCGTCCTCTCCTCCGGGCTCGCGGAGTCCCCGCGCAGTGGGGAGGTGCCCGGCCCTGGTCCCAGCATCCTGGTAAACGGCGCCCCATCCTCGCCTGCCCGAGGATGCCCAAGCCAGTGTCAGTCGTATGAGCTCAAGACAACAGGGACCGAGAGTGGCTTCAGAGTCCCGAGTAATCACCGCGCCTTCTCAGCAAAACCCCAAACCCTCTCCAGAGAAGTCTCTGGAGGCGCAAATGACTGGGGTCGACATCCCAGCGCTGGCCTTGGGGAGCCCCCAGGCCTTGCAAAACACCAGTCTCAGCAGGCGCATGTACTCTTTGATTTCAAGGTGTATAAAAGGCAGTCAAGAAGAGGAAATTATTCGCATTTCGAGTGGGAAGCGCGGAAGGCGTCGTCGGGGCTGGCACCCGTCACCCGTCTTTATGCCACTAGGTGGCGCCAGAGGCACGTCGACTTTGCATACCTGCAGGGCTCTGGGGCCGGTGCTGCCAGGAGCCTGAGCCCCGCGTCCTGGTTCCTTTCCCAGCCCCTTGTACCTCGACTCTAGGCCCAGAGGAAAAACCGCATCTACGCACTCCCTCCACCCAGTCCCCAGGAAATGTCAAGGACTTTGAAGGGAGCCTGGGAGCTAAATTACCAAGTGGAAAAGGGAAAAAACAAACAAAACAAAAAACCATAAAGGCGGTTTTATGTTATTTGTAATGTGTTGGCAGAAGTTTTGTTTTTTTTCCTCCCCCACCCCTTTCTTGAGGAAAGGCATTAAACTCGACCTTGAACGGAAATCTCAGAAAGAAACCATAAGGTATTTAAACAAGAATAAAAGAAGGACATCTGCTCAGGTGTCTGGAAGTGGGACAGTGGGTGAGGCAAGAGAGAAACACGCCACGGTGTGAATATAGCCAAGTATTCCATTTATTAACAAAATAAGTCTTACCAAGGGAGAGCTCTATTCATCCCAAACAGGCCCCACAGCCCTCCCCCCCGCACTGCTGCATAAGACCAGGAGGGAGGGAAGTTGTGGGGAGAAGACCCAGGGGTCCGAGTCTTCAATCCCAGTCACTGAGGGAGCCCACGGAAGCCCACGGCCAACTTTGGGGATTCTGTTGGGTCAGGCCTGGGAGGGGGTGATGGGGCTACTGTGATCCGTGTACTCCCCGACTCCCCAACTGTCCCCCAATGGAGCTACCAAGGTTGTATTGCCCTCTAATATCACCACTGGTCTGCTTTGGAGGGATCTAGCAAGAATCACTGACCCTACCCCTAGCATCAGGAGAGGGATCACTGCCCCAATAATGAAGAATAAAACAGGACTATCAATGCACTTTGCAAAATATAAAGAGCAAAGTTTCACACCAGCAGGGCCTCCTCGGACTTCTAATTGAATAAGATGAGCCCTACAGGTCCCCCACCTGCAGGCAGTGTGACTACCGGGTGTTTGGGGCCATGAAAAGTCTGGAAGGTAGAAAGGCTGTTCAGAGGCCACTTGGGCCTCTCTCTCAGGGGGAGCCTCCTGGTGGGGTCAGGGCTCTCAGTGCTCAGAGCAAGACAGAGGAGCAAGGCTCTAATTTTGGGGGCCAGGGTGCAGACCAAGGACCCCGGAAGGAGAGGGTTGCAGGGGACGAATCACAGGGCAGAGTTCTGGGTCAACAGAACACAAGACCTCTTGCCACCAAGGCGGATCCCTGCACCCCCCAAACACGTTACAAAAAATATCTCCTCTCTGTTACTTGTACAAAGGATAAAACAGAACCTCAAATGTAAGGAAACAAGAAGAAATGAAGGGGAAAGAGGGGAAAAGAGAAGGGGGAAATGTAGTCTTAACGGTTAGGAAGCATGCAAGAAACTCCCCAGGAAGGGAAAACAAATACAAGAACCCCAGAACCCCAACACTCCCTCCTCCCCCTAAAACCAAACCAATCAAAAAAAAAAAAAAAAAAAAAAAAAAAAAAAAAAAAAAAAAAAAAAAAAAAAAAAATTTTTGTATTTTTTAAAAAAAAAAAAAAAAAAAACCCCGGAGGAAGAAAACTGGGGTAGGGACATTGCATAATGACAGGACTCGGAGGCCTGGACAATTGGGCTTGCTCTGGCTTGCTCGGGCTTGCTCGGGCTTGCCCTTGACCTGCTTCTTACTGGGCTTTCAGAAGACACGGTGCTGTATGCCAGTGGACAGGCAGTGTGGGGGCCAGGAGAGAGCTGAGCTCTGCTCCCCAGCCCCACCTCTCCCTGTGTTGTGTCTCTAGTCAACTCAGTGGGTGTCTGTGAGGGCCCAAGATCCCCGCCCTGGACATGATGCTTTGCAGTCCAGGCAGAGAATGCAAGTTGGACACCCTCAGAATGGCGAGAGAACAGTATGGGCTGTTGTACAGATGGCTCTTTTCCTGTGGGTTTAGGGAAGAGAAAGAAAATGTTCTCCCCTGTGTTTTAGGAGAAATCTCTCTCCTACGGCCAACACGGGAAACTGTGATCTCCTTCTTATAGCTGTTCCTCCCTGCAAGTCTGGAGGGAGAATCACAGAAGCTGACACCTTACCACAGTTGACTCTGACCCTACAGGAGAGGAGAAACAGAGAGCAAAAATTAAGAGCAAAGAAGGGAAATTAGGGAAAAGTTCATTCCAACTTGGACGAGAAAGAAGCTACTGTCCTCACCCTAGGAGTGAATTTTAAGAAAGTCTCTGGAGCTGGCGACAGGACCCAGAGCATGGAAAGGAATTGAAATACTCCTGGCCCATCTTTTTAGAAAGACTTTTTGTTTGTTTGTTTTTGTTTTTGTTTGGGGCCTGCGTGTGATGGGAAGCATGGATCAGAGGCAGCTTACTGTGCTGAAGGATCTTTGACTCTTTCTTTCCTTGGTTTTTGGACATGATCATGTTGACATGGGATCCACTGGATTAATTCAACCAGTTTGTCTCTTTTTAGACCAGCAGTGATACAGCCCAGGTCTGCAGGGCCCTGCACCCAGGAGCTTGCTTATACCCAGTGGCAGGGCTGGGCTCCCCCTTGACCCTTCAGCTCAGACCTGGGCAGGATGCAGAGTTAAAACATTGACCCCTTCTTCCTTGGGGACACGGATGCAGACCTTCTTAGAACACACGCACCACCTCAACCACTGTGCAAGCAAAGCAGGATATTGGTTTCTTAAACCCCAATGTATTTTGCTAAATCAGAGTGTTAATACCCCTTCCTCCCCCGCTCTGCATAAATTGGATTACTTAAAGCATCTTTTCAGAGATGTCAGCAGTTTAATAGAGGCAATAAGTCAGGGCTGCCCTTGTGTTTTATTTTTCTGCCAGTATTTAGTTAATTAAAGAATGCAAATTAAAACACCTTAATTTATATAATATCAATACCAACGCCTTAAAACATTTGGCATAACTGCTCTGGCAAGTCCCTTACATAAACTCTTCAGAGCAGTGCTAATAAAAATGAAAAAAGGTTGTAAATCAAATTTAATTTATTCATCTTCTGTTTGGTACAAAAGCATACGCCAAACTCAAGTTATTTATGAGCGCGTCATAATAATAGGCATTTTTGTTGGTTGCAAGTGACAAAAAAGGTTTTTCCTAGGGATGTGTGTTTTAATTGTCTCTAGGTGCAGCTGTTTTCTGGGCTCTGATCTCTAAGATTTATAATTTTACACCCCTATTTCAGAAAAAAAATAGATTTAGATATTGAAAAGCATAAGGAGCCTAAAAACATAGCAACATCCACTCACAAAGGCACCTGCAACCATCCATATGCAGATAGACATATACACCATCCACCCTATGGAGTGTGGATCTTCAGGTGAGATAAAAGGTTGGTGATTTATATCCGATTTCTTAAATATTCCATTAAGAGGATTATTTCACAGGAGGCTCAGATACAGACAGCGTTGGAAGGGATTTGGTGCGCAGTTGCTTCCTTGGACGCCTTGGAGATGAACTACGCTTGCGTGAATGAATCGCTGAACAACCATTTTCGTCTTTCCCCGCCTTTGTTGATATGTTCCTTCTTTGTCTCGTGGATCTGAGCACAGAATACATTTTATTCAGTCTTGGAGGAAGAATAGTAGGCTCCATTCAGGGGTACTGAGGGATGGCATGTTCTCCCTGCTGCCGCCAGCGAAGCTCCCCATGCAATCGTCCTTCTCAAACTCCCTTGCTCACCCAGCTTTCGGCTCTGCTCTGCTCAAACAGGTCTCAGGGCCTGTGGGAGAGTTGAGAGAAGTTTTGGAAAAGCCCTCTCCACCCAGATCCCATCCTGAAAAACCCAAGCAAATTCACAAATATGACCCTCTAGCTGGCCCATGGCCTCCCTACTTGGGAAGCAAAACCCCAGTACGATGCTATGCCCTATTCTAACCATTATCTTCCATTATCTTTTAACGTATTATGAGCTGGGCAGAAGAGGTAGAATCCTGGGGTTCCTCGTGTAGGGAAACGGAGGGCAGAAATGGCAAGTGGCATCTTTCTGTGACCTTGACAGCTGTGGATCCTGGGCTGCCACGAGGGCTGTGGGGAGACTGCAAAACTCCAAACAAAATATATCTTGGTGGTTCCCTTTCTGATGTTGAAAGCAGCGATACACCTTTTACATTGCTTTGGTTAGGAGCTCATTGGATGCCCTCCTTTGCCTCAGACTCATTGCAATAGTGAGCTAGAAAGTTACACTCTTTCAAGTAGATGCTTCTTTTTTTGGGGGGGGTACCAAGGAGAGCCAGAGAAGGTACTAGAAAAGTTCACTGCCTCCAGCCCCCGTAACTTTGCAAGCTCCTCTGCCTTTCCACTCGGTAGTGTCTCATTGGGTTATGGGAAAAAACAGAGTCTGGTGTGACAGATACGCCACATCAAGGGGCCCGCTGAGCTCTGCACTGCATCAGGACACCGAGCATCAGAGTCTCTCTGGGGAAGCAATGGAGGGAGCATTTTGGGCAGTCCCCCAGGTGTCCACATATACATACCCACGTGCGATCGTGGCCATATTCTCTCTCACTGTTTCTTGCTACATGTCATCTTCAAAAGCTAATTTTGACCTTTATATTTATTTATACCCCTCCTACCTCCATAAAAGATAGGAGGTCGCTTACAATTTAAATCGCAGATACAGTAGAACCTGAAGCCATTAACAGAAAAGTTAACAAGATCAGAGCCAAGTACGAAGGAGGAGGGGGAGGAAGAAGCAGAGTTACTATACCAGAGGGGTAAGAAATTTAGATTAAGGAAAGCTAATGCAATTGAGAACAAAACCCAGCTCCCAACTCCCTGGTAGTGGTGGGCGACTGCCAGCTATTGTAATAACCGTGGATTACTGCACCTCAAAGGCAGGTTTTAAATGCCTGCCGAGGGTTCACTGGCCCTGTGAGCTTGGTCAAGCTCTTTCAGTTCTCTGAATCTCTGTTTCCTCATCTGTAAAGTGAGGATTAACTCACTCATCATGGGGCTTTTGGGAGAATGCATTTCAACAATGGCAGTAGCTACTCTTCTAAGTGTTTTTATTTTAATTTAATTTTCTTTATTTGAGAGAGAGAGAGAACATAAGCAAGGAGGAGAGGGAGAGGGAGAAGCAGACTCCCCACTGAGCAGGGAGTCCGATGCGGGGCTTGATGCCAGGACCCGGGGATCATGACCTGAGCCGACGGCAGACGCTTACGTGACTGAGCCACCCAGGCGCCCCTCTAAGGGTTTCATGTAGACATTTAAAACATTTTTAAACATCTCTGACATTGATATAAAACATCATGTCACAGCCTTTTCTTCTTTCCTTGCTGGATCTAAAATCCCGGTGCATTGTGGATTAGATGAGATATGTTATTAACCTGTTCAGCCCTCACAGTAACTTTCCAAGGTAGGTGATCTTTTTGTCCCATTTTACAGATGAGCAAATGGAGGCATAGAAAATTTAAATGACTTCTCTGAAGGCTGTGTGGCTGACAAGCAGTGGAGCTGGGAATGTGATCCCAGGCTATCTGATGTCACCCCGACTCTATACTGCTTTTCGACAACCATTTCAGCAACACACGTTTCAAAGAAATTTCAGTGTTGGGCACTGGGGATATCAGATGAAAAGATGCGTACTTGTCCTAGAGGACTGGACTCCAGTGAGGACACCGACTGTAAACAGACCACATCTTGCGGTATTCATCAGAGTGCATCGGTGGAAATCCGTTCCCAGGCACAGAGGCAGAGAAGGGAGAGATGATTAGTTCCTCTGAAGCCTCTGTCCTAGGGCTCAGCTCGCAGTACCAACTACCCCTCTGGCAGGTCAGGAGAAACACGTGCTTTCTTGGCTTCGAGATGATAGGCAGTGGACAACTTCAGTGAATGGGTTTGAATAGTGGAGAACACAATGCACAGGGGCCTCTCCTATGGCCATTTCATATATGGACACTGGAGGAGAGCTGGGGGCAGCAGATCTTAAGGGAGCATCATGCTCTCAGGAAGGCTTGGAAGTGGCTTTTGGGGCAGAGACTAAGGGAGATGTTTGGCCTCCCAAAGCTAGGCTGGAGGCTCTGTCCTTGGATACCCAGACCAGGAGGGTAAAGGGCCAGGGGAGGGCCTGAAAAGAGAAAACAAGGGAGGGAAAAAAGAATTAACCACAAAAGCAGCTTCAAAAGGAATGGGACAAGAGTCTCTGGGATACAGTGAGGTGCTGTGAACGAAGGAGCTGACTTGGAGGGAGGATACCTGAATTTGGGACGCGATTTTGCCTCTTGGGAGCACATTATCCTTTGAGTCTCAATTTTATCATCTGTCTACATGGGCATAAGGACAACACACTTATTACCTCACACCGTTAAAAGATCAATTAAAATAATACATGCGAAAGTGTGTTCCAAACTAAATAATACTATGCAAATATGAGTTATTATTGTTGTCTTTCTAGCCTTTTCTTCCTGGCTGTATGAGCTGGGACATGTCATTCCAGGGGAGAAAGAGAAATACACAGGGGAGGGGCCTTGCCCAGTCTTGGGCAGTCACTAAAGTGGCTTGACTTAGAACTTGAAGCTCCTCCTCCAAGGGGGTCTCAATCACACCCCCCCACCCCAGTGAGGAGGCTTGGAGGCCCCACCCTTAGAGTTCAGGGACTCGGCCCCCTGGGTGGGGGTGGGGTCCTAGCCCCCACTACTCCCGGCGCCCTCTCCCTGGACCTTAGCCCAGCAGCTGCAGGTGAGCAGACATCACCGGAGGGCTATGGGCATGTCTTCTTTCCCGCCCAAGTAAAGTTCAGCAGCCAGGAAATCAGAACTTAACAACACAAAGCAAACAAACAAAACCAAAACAAATCCATTCTGACAGAACTTCCCTGATAAAGGACGTTTCCTAGTATTTCAAGCAGAATAAAGCCGAAATTATGAAAGCCTCTTCTGGACCAAAGGAGAATGGGCTGGAAGTCCTGCTGGACCTTAGTCACAGAGGTCTGTGGCCCCTGCCCCTTCCCTGGAGGCCTGGCCTCCCAGGCCGAGGGTGCCCCGATCTGAAGGCCTGACAGGGGCAGGGTGGCTGTCCGGGGGACAGGAGGGGACCGGTGTTCACAGGCCCCTCCAGGGACCGCAGGCGCCGACTCCACTTTTTCGGGCCTTTCCTGAGACGGAGAA